AGCGGCCACTGCACTCCAGTCTGGGCGACAGAGTGAGACTCCAACTCAAAAAAAAAGGAGGTGCCCGAAAAGCCTGATTTTACCCAAGTTCAGGATGATTTCATAGCAGTTGAAACTGAAAATGTCCTTATTCTGAGGTCAGAAGGCATGTTTTCAGGGCACTCACCCGATGAACTCCAGCAGCAAAGACACATCGAGTTCGGGCGGGATGCGGAACACGGACTCAAGGACTTTCTTGGCTCTCCCTTTGCTTGAAGGCGTCGGCTGCGGTACAGCTAGTTGACAGACAAACAAAAAGGCTGATTGAGAGCAACAATGTCACAAGCTGAGACTTTTGAAAAAATAACTGCACTTGTGACCACTTAAAGGTCACACAGCATCCGTTTCCCTTTCGCCGACGGCATCAACTGATCTGTCCAAACCAGCGAAGTCAGGCAAGCCTGTGGTCCGTGCCCACAGGCAGGCAGACACGTTTACCTGGGCCACAGAGCGCGCCCAGGACAGAAACACCACAGACAGGTGTAGGGACGCCCACCATGGGCTAAGGCGGGTACTCAGCACAGTCACACACACCCCCTCATGCCATCCTCACTCTCGCTCTGCTAAGTAGGAACCTGTGAGACCGGTCCCACTGCTGCTTTTTTAAACTGATAGACAAACGGGCTTAGTGAGAGGAGCAGTTTGTCTAAGGTCACTTGGGTAGTGCGTGGAAGAACCAGGACTTCAACTCAACTCTGTGACTTCCATTCCGTGACTGTTTGAGCAGTTGCTATGTGCCAGGCACTGTTCCAAGTACTTGTATTACTCAGTGTACTTCTTTTTCACTGAATGGCATTACTATCGCTACTTTATAGATAAGAAAGGACACTGAAGCATGTCATGTGCTTCCGTCACACACCTACAAGAGTGGCAGAGCTACTCTGCACTCTTCAATTCCGCGACCCACGAGACCGGACCACAACAGCATCACCTCCAAACCCCTTTCTCTCTGGCAACATCACAACTGGCTACCCCACAAAGGACTCTCAGAGGGTACACAGTTCATTGTTAGCAGTCTTGAATCTAGAGATATATTGTGGTTTTCACCCAAACTTACCGGGTTTAGGTACTTCTAGCCCTCTTTCTTTATAGAAATCATGCATTTGCTTTTTTTCTCCTAAAATGATAAAACACAGACTAAATTACACTTAAAACGCAACCAGCAGAGTCAGAGATCTAGGATTCACAACTATGTAATAAAAGAAACTTACTTTCCTCTAGATTGATCACTAACTTGTACACTATGTCTTGTAACTGTCGGTCCAACCTGATGGAAGGAAAGGATGGAGAATGCCTCAGAAAAACGCACTCTGGTACCGAGTCGGTTGACCGCTTTCTCTTGGGAGCGGACCTCTCCATTCTCAGAGACCAGTCGTTTTTTTTTTTTTTGAGTTGGAGTCTCACTCTGTTGCCCAGTGGCAATCCACTCACCTCAGTCTCCCAAGGCACGGGATTACAGGCTGAGCCACTGAGCCCAGCTGACCAGTCGCTTTTAAGCAGCACTCACAGCTCCTCAAATACAACTCACCGGAGAACCGTGAGCCATGACACCTATTGCGATCCTAAGTTCTCACAGGTTCTGGCAAGGCTCCCTAAACTGTTTCAAGTGTGTTGGTCTCATCCCATCATGAGACTGTGATCTTGAGGGTACAGACTGCACCTGAACATCAGTGTATCACCTGTAAGCACTCTTCCATGAAAGCAGTAAAAGCTCAGTAGCATTTGTCAAATGAACAAAAGTAACCTACTTCTAGTATATTTTTTGTTTTTGAGCCAGAGCCTCACTCTGTCACCCAGGCTGGAGTACAGTGGCACGATCGCGACGATCACAGCTCACCACAGTCTCACCCTCCTGGGCTCAGGTGATCCTCCCACCTCAGCCTCCTGAGTAGCCTAGCTTTTTTTTTTGGTGTGTGTCTTGCAATGCTGCTCAGGCTGGTCTGGAACTTCTAAACTCAAGCAATCCCCCGCCTCAGTCGCCCACAGTGCTGGGATGCTAGGCATGAACTGCCACACCCAGCCTACCTTTAGTATTTTCTTAAGAGCCTGAGCGTAGACTGAAAATGTGATTCATAAGCCACAATGAAAGAAGATAGAAATGACTTATTTAAGACGCCATTTGTTTCGGGGAGCCTTAAAAAAAAAATTGGAATACCATGTACCAAAAACACAATCCTGAATCAGCCACGATACTCGAATGATGGGATTAAAGAGCCGCCAGATAAAAGGCCTGTGCCTCTTTCTTGAGGTCTCCAGCAAGGATCATCACAGTGCCTGGTACACAGTAAGTGCTCTGGACGTAGGTCTGTAAAGAATAGCGCACTTCCCTTTCTTCTAAGTGGAGGGAGGGTGAGCATGTATTCCAGCTCCACAACTTCAAGCTTTCAGAAAAAGGCTCCCAAAGGCACAGGCGTCACTTCCTCCCTCTTACCTTATGTTATACAGAGGTTGTGTCTGATGTACCACTATGTTGCACTTTGGACATCGGTTGCTGTAGTAAAAATGTCTGACGATGCAGCTCTTGCAAACTGTTGGAACAGAGAATGTTGAAACCAGGATGCTTTTGAGACGTTTCCCAAGCAGAAAGCACGCGGCCCCGGACGCCCACTTACAGGTGTGGAGGCACTCCGTGATGGTGGTGGCGTCTATCAAGTAGCCTTTGCAGATGGAGCACAGGATGTACGGCGTCAGCTCCGAGAGGGCAATCGGGCGCTGGAAGGCAAGGGAGACCCCGTCGGAACACAGGGCCCTGCCCCATGGCCGCCAGGCTTCGTGCTGAACGCCGCGAAACCTAATGGCAACACGGGGACACACACCCCAACCCCGGGAACGCTGCGGAGAGTCACAGTAGCACGGCGTGAGCGACTGTTTCAAAAAGAGAGCTCCCCGGGACACACTGTGACTCCTGCTGGGGCGGGCCTGTGCCCCCGACGGCGAGAACTCGGACCAGCTAGGTATCTCCCCTGACTCGAAGAACGAGCCCCCACGCAAAAACGAGACCCCGGACAGGGGATCGTGGAGGAGGGCTTACCATGCCCTCGGCCCCTCAGAGACTGGGACCTCGGGCTCCCGCAGAGCCGCGCGCGGCACGCCGGGGTCCCAGCACCTCGTCGGGATTTACAGGCTGGGCCCGAGGCGCAGGGAGCGGGGCCAGGACGGGCCCGGGCAAGGCCTGGGAGAGGGGAGGGCGGGCCG